GTGCCGGGTTCTGGCGCGGGTCGGCGTACGCGACGGTATGATGGCGGCCGAGTCCTAACAGTAGGCCACTCGCCGATTCAGCCACCAGAGTCGCCGAGCGACACTCACTCAGCGATCCAAGGACCTAGAGTCGTCAGGAGACACTTACTCAGCGACTCAGGGATTCTCAGGCACACGACCCCCGACAAGTGCTTGCAAATGGAGCCTGCGTGACAAGAAGGGCCGCCTCGATCGCAAGGGTCCAAGTTGCTGCTATCGATGTGTCTTGCGATGACGTAACATCAGCTATAAAGGGGATCACGTGCCTCGGCCAAATCGAAAAAATCGCTTCGAGCGGGAGGATGCGGCAAGCAGCGCTCTCTTGAACACCGACCTGAAGCGCTTGGCAGTTGCTCTCGCACACCACACCATCCACCACCATGATGCACACTTCTCTCACACGGGGCGCCATGCCCATGCGCGGAGTCGTCCGCAGCTTCACGTCGAGCGCGCAGGTGTACGCCGAGGGTGCGCCTGCCACCTCGACTCCTCGTCCACGATCGAGTCCACGATCGAGCCAGCCGGATGCCCGACCGGCGCGCGCTGGCGGCAATGCTGCGGATCGACTGCGAAACGGCGAGAGGAGCCGAAATTCGGCCCGAGCCAACGGTCAGGCGAGCAACAGAAACGCAGGCGGTGACCGTCGCAACAAGCGACTTCCTTCCGTGTTTGACGGCTCGTCACCCGCGCGTGCGGAGCGTGCGCCTCGCGGTGTGATGCTCAAGGGTCGGGATCAGCAGAGCCAACGGATGGCTGCGCCCAAGACGACCACCGACTGGAACAGCCCGCTGTACGCCAAGCCCGGATACGAACGATTCCTGCCATCGGCGCCACGAGCCTCGTCGATCTTTACGCCGAATCTGAGCGCGGCTGCGGCTGCGACGCCGGCAGCGGGAGGCAAGGGTAAGGGCAAGGCGGCGGCTGCGCCTGCCTCGACGCCGCAGGCCAAGCTCAACCTGCCAGGCATCAAGGCTGCGGTCAACGCGCTCAAGCTGCACATCCGACCGGGTGGACGCAACATCCTCGGACCCACGCACGATCCCGTCGGTGTGGCGGTGGGCAGCCTCACGTACAAGCGCGCTGCGATGGCGCCATCGGTGCGAAAGGGAGCGAGCGACGAGGCGCTGGCGTCGGAACTCAAGAGGGCGAGGATCGCACTGCAGAACCAGCAGATCGGCGGATCGTACGAGCGCTTTGAGCCGCAAGCCGTGCTCGAATCGGCAGGCGTCAAGGCGAGCGCTGACTCGGCACAGACGCAGGCGATCAAGGACGCAGCCCAGGCGCTCAGCCTCAATGCTGACCTCGCACCCGAGAGCAAGAGCTTTGTGGCCAAGACCATTGCTGAAAGGCTGGACGCATAGAGCATCCCACCCCTACTTTACCGTTCGCAACACAGGCTTGCTTTTCCACCATCACTGCCGCTGCGAGTCGATTGAGAATGGGTGACATTGACGCTAACGCTGCACAAAATTGCTTCAAAGCGGTCCTTGAATGTCGCAGTACTGTGAGCCAAGGACGGTTGGCATCGGAATCGAGACGAGGCCGCAATCATGGTGAGTGAGGTGCAACTTTTGATGAGATTTGGCGGGAAATCACTTACGATTGGAACGTGGTCGCTGGCACCGTAGCACTCGTGGCGGATCTCGCACTCGAGCGCCTTGTCAGCGATGCGTTGCGAGAGCTGGAACGTCGAGGTGCAGGAGAGTCAGCTGTGTTGCGACGGCGAGATGCAGCCATGTGAAAGGAATACTCACGATGAACGAGTCGAGACGCCAGCCGATGCCTTTGGACCTGCAAAAGCCTCGCCACCCATAGAAAGCTGAGACGCCAAAATGGAAAAGTCAGAAGGGCAAGATCGAGGGTGCCAAGGTGCGAGGGAAGAGTGCTTACTGTAGTGGCCGACGGCGTCGGGATGCTTTGCCCTCCACACGTCAACGAGGGGTTGGGAGGAGGGTGTGGCAGAGCCTTCGAGGAGGGCGCGATGGGCATCGCATTCGATGGCCGTGTATCCTGGGCTCTTGTTCCACTTTTTGGATGCGGCTGCCAGATCGCGTTCGTCTTGCACCACATTGAAGTCGCCGCACCACACGACGGGCTTCTTGGCATCGAGCTCGGCCAGATACGCTGCAAAGGCGGTGTTCCATGCCTGCTTGGTCGCCATGGTCTTGGTTGCGCGCGAGCATCCGAGTTGGCAAGAAAATGTCAGTCGTGCAGTTCGGTCTGAGCCCGCAAGCGAGCGAGCGAGATAATGGCAAAGGGGAGAGCGGCGGGGGATGTTGCTGCCATATCAGGCCCTCGTGCGTTGCATGCTGCAAGATGAGAGCGCGCCACGAGAGATTATGAGGACAGCTCTTCGATGTACGGGCCGCACAGCAGATCTCCACCTGAGGCAAGCGGAAGAGATCGTGTAAAATTGGCGGCCCGACCAAGGGGACTGTAGAGAGGGGAGTGGGCGTGCGCTGCGACTTACCTTGAGGCCGTCACCTGCATTGACCGCGTACGTCCCGACGAGAAAAGTGTTTTCAAACTCGAGAGTGACTGTGGACTCGACTTGCAGATGGGATTGCGTCAGCTGTGTGCATCGGGTGCGAGAAGGCACGAGCGGGTGCGAGAAGCAGGATCACTTACTGATGCGGCCCTTGGTGTCTTGGTCCTTGAGACCGGGTAAGCCGTAAATTACCTTGATAGGCTCGATCTTGGAGAGGATGGCGAGGCCGGCATACCCCTTTTGCTTTCCGATGCCCCAGTACTGGTGTTTGTAGATCTGGGAGAGGGCCGGGTGCATGGGCACGTCGTTGACCTTGGTTTCGGAGAGCACGACGATGTGCGCGTCCTCTGCTTGGATGTAGCGCATCATGCCCTTGGGTTCGCTCGACTTGAGGCTGGTGATGTTCCATGCGGAGATGCGCACGCTTTCCGGAGCTGTTGGGCGGGCATAGGAGAGCGTGGCGGGCATCTCGGTGTTCTTGGGCAGGCTCGGATCGGCCAGCGTGTCTTCCGACTTAGGTGCGCTCGGAGAGTCCGAATCCGCGACCGCCTTCTTGCGCTGCTTTTTGGTTGGGGCAACAGCCGCAGCAGCGTTTTCCTCGGCCCTATCATCCGTGCCGTTCTGCTTCGGATCAGCCGCCGATGTCGGATCAGCCGCCGATGTCGGATCAGCCGC